GTTTACTGCTAACAGAGTTTCCAATCAACAACACATCAACTCTTTCAAACAAAAATCTAAGTAAAACAACTATAACATACAAACTAAACAAAAGAATTAAAAGGCATTACCAATACGAAATCATTAACAACACGATACACAAAAGTTTTAGGCATTAATGCCCAACTCTCAAAGCCAATTGAAAAGTAGCGAGGATTTGTAGCAAGCTCCCCCCAAAAATCCTGCAAGAATGTTGGCTGATTTTCCAATAGGTTGAGCAAACTCATCACATTCTATAATTATGCACGATCCATTCTCCAAGTTATGGACATCTTGAACCTTCAGCCTAATTGATTTTATCACTTGATGTTCATCTGCAATAAAATAAAGACCATATTAAAATATTAATCGCGGAGTTAATTTTATAAGTGAATCCAAAAATTGCTTAACACCAACAACCCAACCAAGAGGCTTAACATCTTTACTATTTTTTAACTACAAACACATGAATAGAGTGATTGCCCGTGCCACCCAATCTTCCATCACCCTAGTTTCCACTTCATTGGATGGAGAACATACAGTAAAGAAGTTACATGAAAGAACTAGGAATTAGAAATAACCAAAATGAGCAAGACAAGAATCAGAACCTCAAGCTTAGGGCCATCACCCCTTTCCTCCTACCAAGCTAATCTACAATAAATGTAATGGCTTAGGCTTCTCTGTTGCTCAAAAGATGGCAACGAAAAATTTCCCAGCTGAAATATGGAGCAAAGGCATAATCGGATCCCTCATCTTGCAAGAAATCAAGTACTTCAGTAACCTGGTAATAGGCTGTCATGATATCAGATATCTCTAGTAAGCCTCGACCACCTGCAGATGTGTGGCCTTAGCTAGAAGTTATGCCAGACAAAAGCTTTGGTTCATTGGCCACAAAACCCAATTAGAAAAAGAAAGGGAGAAATAACTCGTAACCAGCATGTGTTCCGTGGTAGAAGTTGCAGAATATATAATCGTCCACTAGCAATTTCTGGATTCACTTATAGGAACCTAAAGGCTACATACTTATAACGTTAACAACCCAAACACAAGGCTCCGACTCCGTGTCATCTATAACTCGTCTACGTCTAGTTGGTTGTAAAGAGACTCCATCAGATGATGAAGAAGCAATAACATTCTGTGACGAGACTCTATCAGATGATGAAGAAGCAATAACATTCTGTGACGAGACTCTATCAGATGATGAAGATAGAATGACATTCTATGACGAGACTCTATTAGTTGATGAAGATGGAACGACATTATGTGATGAAACTCTATTAGTTGATGAAGATGGAACGATGGGATGTGTATGATGTGAAGAAACTCAATCAGAAGATGAAGATGAAGCTTGAGTCTCAGATTGAGCATGTGATTATTGAGACTGAGTGTGTGATGACTGCTCTGGAGCAAGTGAAGATCTCCCTTTGATTGATTTGAATAGATTTTTCACCCGATTTTGCTTCGGCATCTCTGCATACATGATTGAACAAAATGACAAATCAGTAATATGCAATTTCAAAATATAGCCAACGAGCATTAAATTCAGAGGCATAAATTGCATTAAATTCTTCCCTGAGGTTTTATGCTCTAATAGATTAGATGATACACATTTCAGCCCATTGTTAGAACATTCAAGTAGAAATAATAGTAACAATGCAATCATCATTAAGTTGCATAGAATTATAGGTGTTCAGCAATAGCCAAGTATTTGGATCTAGATGTAAGCTCTGTATAACAAAAATCTGCTATAGTATAGACAAAGCTAAGAGAATCCAAAGACATAACATTAGAAACAGAATAAAAAAGAGAATGTATACACATGCAACATGACTCTACTTCTCTGTATAAGGAGCAACTTTAACTTGGTTTAAACCAAGCAATAAGAACAAGCAAATAAAACATAACGGAATCAAAACAGATAGAAACCAACTGAAATTTCATTAATAAAAGAAAGTAGCTAAATGAGTTGGCAGTGGGTCTTCAAATATGTTCATCTTCCCCAATCTCATCTTCAATATCGCATTCACCTAATACTTCATCAATTTCATCATCCTGAATTAAAATTAGATTATTCACATCATCAAAGAATTGATCTAACTCTTGCACTGAAAATGGTTCATTCTCAGGAACTTCATTCTCTCCTTCTCCCATTTCATATAAGTCTCTTGGTTTCAAGTGAACAACAGTACTCCATCCTTTATTCACCTCATCATCCATATAATATACCATTTGAGCTTGTGAAGCTTCAATATATGGATCATGCTCTTCACGATCACCAATGTGAATCAATTGTGAAAAATTAATAGAAGAAAATTCCCATGCATCCTTTCTAAACCCTCTATTCCTAGTTATGTCAGCCCATTTACACTTGAATAGTGTAACCCTAAATCGATAGTAGTTAAGCTCAATGATGTCTTCTAATTTACCATAATATGGCAAATCTGCTTGCCTCAGGTTTCCATCAGCACCACTAGCAATACAAGATGTGGACGAAGTACAAAAAACCCCACTGTTTTGTGTTTTCAACCCATGCTCTCGAGTTGTTGTCCGAAATTTGAACCCATTGATCTTAAATGAGGTAAATCTTCTAGCATAAGGTGCCGGACCATCTGCTAAAAACTTTAGTTCATCAGACATAATATTTAAAGTGTCTAGATTAACAATCTGAAATAAGAATGTAAAATGTGTTAGTCACAAATTTAAAATTATAAAATTCTAATACATTTGTAACCAACCTTTCGAGGAAACCAATCAATAAAGTCTTTACTAACTATCTTCTCTATCTCCGTATTTGAAGGCTTTCGACCCTTCCACCACCTCCGCACATAAGCTTTAAATTCACTAAATGAGATTTTGATATAAATATAACAATTAACACAAGTTTTTATGTATTTAATGCAAATTTAATTTAGATTTACCTTAAATACTCACTTAATGAATGACATGACTTGTGGACATTTTAGTAACACATATCGATGTGTTTGATGTTTTGCCATAGGTGACAACTCAAATGTTACAGCTCCTAGACCTTTACCAACTGGTGGGAAAATACTAGATGAATTCGCCGAGCCTCTATCCTCCGGAAAATCGTCAACACGGCTTGGACTATTAAATCTTGTCTCAATCCCTTCAATATATTGTGAACAAAAAGTAATAGCCTCTTTAGCTAGATATCCTTCAGCTATAGAACCTTCTGGTTGTGACATGTTTCGCACATAGGAGTTGAAGTGTCCCAAATAACTAAACAAAAGATCAAAAATTAGATGATGGATACAAATTAACATATATTCTTAATGAACAAGCTCCAATCAAGCAATAAAAAATATTGTTTACCTCTCGATAGGATACATCTACCGACACTGTTGAAGTCCCCCAAGTTTTGCTTCACCAGCTAGATGACAAGTTAAATGAACCATGATTGTAAATAATGTAGGAGGGAATAACATTTCCAGGTGATTCATGATGATAAAATATCGCGACTGGATCCTGTTAAGTTCTAAGGGACTTAAGCTTTTGGCACATATTTAATGGAAGAAAGAACTCAACTCTATTAATATTGCAGTCACCTTGTTTGGTAAAACACTACGTATGGCAATTGGTAACAAGTGCTACATGAGAATGTGAAAATCATGACTCTTCATTGACTTGAGCTTTTGTTGTTTCAAGTCGACACATCTTTAAATGTTGCTAGCGTATCCATCGGGAATTTTGAAATTCTTTAAAGTACGCAAAAATATGTCTTTCTTAAATCTACTTTTCTTTGAATTTAAAAGAGTGAACAAGGCTGGACGATAGCTTTCATTATCATCTGCCCAAAGTTCTTTCCTTATACCCATTTCTTTACGATCATTCTAAGCTTTAAGATTGTCTTTTGACTTTTCAGTATCATTGAGCAAAGTATATATCACATTCTCACACACATTCTTCTCAATGTGCATAAGGTCTAGATTATGACGTAACAAGTTAGATTCCCAATAAAGAAGATCAAAAATATGTTTCTCTTTCTCCACTGTTTTGGTCTATCTTCAGCAATAGTTTTTCCTCGAGTTATTTTACCTTTGGCATTTGACTCAAGTACTTTCCAAAAATTGGCATTGATTCCCTCAATTTGTTTCAAGATGTCTGACCCTGATAATGCTATTGGTGGCTCCCATTGCTCGATTTTCCCATTAAAACTGACACGCTGCAATCTAAATCGATGACCACTTTCAAGAAAATGACGATGACCCATGAAACACCATTTTCTACTATGTTTCAACCTGCAAGAGTCTGTTTCAAAGTTACACGTGGGACAAGCAAACTGAGTGTTTGTGTTCCATCCAGATAAGGTGCCAAGCCTAGAAAAATTACTAATCGTCCACATCAAGGCTGCTCGCATTTTAAAATTTTCATTATTTGAAGAGTCTAATGTCTACACTCCATCGTACCACAATTCTCTCAAATCTTGGATAAGAGCCTGTATGTCTATGTCATTTCCAGGCATTTGTTTTCATAGAATGATCATTGAAAGAATGAATGAAGTTTGTTTCATGCACTCCCAAGGAGGACAATTGTATGGAATAAGAACCACTGGCCAAATACTATAGTTTGTTGCCATTGATCCAAAAGGATTGAAATCGTCACTAGCTAGGCCTAGTAGTATATTTCGAGGATCTACAGCAAATTCAGGATGAAGCAAGTCAAATGCTTTCCAAGCCTAAGAATCCCTTGGATGCCTCATCAATCCATCTTGGTTACCCGCTGAAGAATGCCATCTCATTGACTCAGCAGTTTTAGAGCACATGAACAATCTCTGTAGCCTTGACTTTAGTGGAAAAGTAGCGCAAAATCTTTGCGGGCTGCTTCTTTTTATTGTCTTTCACCTAGATATCTTGCACTTTTTGCATTCTTGTAAACCTTCATCTTCCCCAAAATATAACATACAATCATTTGGGCAAACATGGATCTTGGTATAATTAAGGCCAAGTTTGTTGATGGTTTTCTTGGCCTCATAAATAGAAACAGGAATCTTGGCATCTTCAAAGACATCTTTTAACAATTCTAATATCATACTCATCGCTTTGTCAGTCATTCGGCACAAACACTTGATATGATACAATTTGACTAGAAATGACTATTTGGAATACTTCGTGCACCCTTCGTATAATGGTTGATTGCCATCTTCGACCAGTTTATAGAACTTTGCATATTCTTTATTAGGCATATTCTTCATCAAATATTTCTTCACTATTCATAGGATCACAAGACACACCAGGCTCATTGACATTGTTCCCCATGAAACCAAATGCATCGTTAATCAGGGTTACCATTGGATCTTGGAGATGCAGAGTTTCTTGTATGAAATGTGTGCTCTGAAACGTTTGTGGCATAGTTGCATTTGATTCTTCACCATGAAAATACCAAACTTTATTAGTTTTTGGAAAAGGCTTACAAATCAGGCGTTCTTCAACTACATTTCTTCTTTGCCACTTCTTAAAATTACATTTTGGACACGGACACTTAATTACACGCCCATCAATAGACCCATACTTAAAAGCAAAATCCAGAAATTTTCTAAGCCCATTCGCATATTCAAGTGTATTTCGTGGTTTGTTAATCCAAGATTTATCAATTGGCATGGTTAGAAAAGAAGATATGAGATAACATCACAATATCAAAATGAAAAAGCTAGTTCATAGCCACTATATGGAAATCAAAAGAATAGTAATCACTTAATCTCACTTTTTAACTTCTGAAGAATACATGGAAACTAAAGCGAGAAATAAACAAAGAAAAGAACATGTGCAACTTATTTAGGGAAAAACAAAAACTACAACATGCATGAATTATCCATATCATCAAAGTCACTTGTCTAGTGAAGTCTTCATTACTGTAATAGAGGAAAAACTAAATTTGTTTATACCATCAGCATGCATTATTTGATACATTTTCTCAACTCATAGCAAATACATGCAAAAAAGTAGGAAAATTGCACATGTAGCCTGACTGATGTTCACAAAACTTAGCAGGAAGAAAGAAAAAATCCTAATACATGGTTTCTAATGCTAACTTGGCTTAAACACAAAGAGAAAATGTAATAGGAAGACATATATTTGTTCAAAATTAATCAAACATGAGGTAGAGATAGAATTCCATAGTCATGTCTTTTTAAGAACTTAAACATAGGAGATAGAGAAGGGAGTCTACAACAATGATGGGAATAAAATGGTCTATCTTAATTACACAAAAGAACTGAACACAAAAATGATCAGTAGATAAACGCTTATGAGCATAACTTATTGCAGTAGAAGTGATATCATGTTAAAACATTGAAATAGTTAGACAATTTCTTCTTCTATTAGGAAGTACAAAATATTCCAGTGAATGGAAAAAGAAAGGATAGCTTGCATTCTAAATGTTGTTGAACTTTAGTAAGAAAAATCAATAATTTGAATGAGGGAAAAGACTGAAACTGAGATTCAAATGTTGGTTGGAAGACCGGAATACTAGCTGAACAATTATCTAAAGGAATGATATGGAGATGATAGAAGGGAAACTGAAAAACAATGCGAAAACATATCGACCCTGTCCTCTAAGCTCATGACAATCAAGTGTAGCAAGGAATAAAAGAATCAATAAGCTTTGATTTTCAACAAATATGAATTCAGAATGTATTACAGCTGCTCAAAAGAAAGGATAAAGTTAACTGACAAGAGCTATACCTATCAAATATAATTTTGTCGACGTCGATCCCAATAGCTTTACCAGCTGTTTTAGATTCCTTGGCTACTTATCGAGGCCATAATTGATATTTAGGTTAATATTAGCAGAACAAAAACTAAAAATGTCAAAATTTAAATAAACACAGACTTAATTGAATAGAAAATTAACAAAACTTGATACAAAAATAAACGGAAAAAAATAAAACTATTAGCAGAAATTGGCAGCTAAAATAGTGAGATCGACGGCCGAATCAATAAAATTGATTGCCAAACGGTAAAATTGATGGGCTTAAGCAGTGAATCGATAGCTAAAATCAGTGATTTAAACTGATCTTCGTCCAATACACACAGATGCACGCCTAAAATCAATGAAATCAATGGCTAAAACAGCAAAATCGAAACCTAAATCAGTGAAATTCATGGCTAAAATTAGTGGTTTAAACTGATATCAATCCAATACACACACATGCACGCCTTAAAATAGTGAAATCAACAACATTTTGGAAGGTATTACACGAACGACTTGAAATCGGAGACGTATTGAAGTGAGTATTTATCAGAAAAAGGGCTATTTATAGACTAATTCAAACACATTACCTTAAACGAGTTGAAATCTGATTTCCTTACATAAAAGATAAAGGATTTGGGAGAATCGTTAACGGATATGACCATCTTACATCATTTTAATCTCCTTAAACCTCTTATATTACAGTGATTTAATTTGGGAAATCGCTTGTTTAGAGAACGAGAGAGACTGTGTAGAGAGAGAGACAGAGAAGGTGTGTACCGTCTGTTTGGGGAGCTTTAGGTCTTTGAATGATATTTACATTATCATTAAATTTAATACTAATATTTTTAATAATGTTACTGAATAATAACATTAAATATTAGCAGAAAGAATTATTAAATTTTTTGTCTAATTAGTGGTGGTTAAAATCGCCGTAATTATAAAAAAAATGCCCGTTTAACATTACGCACTAATGGCATTTGTAACGCCACCATATTATGATAAATATTGCGGCGGTTTCGTTGAACTGCCATTATTTAATCGCCGCAATAATTCTATTTTTTTGTTGTGAAGAAAAATGTGAATGATAATAATCAATACTAAATAGCAATGCATTAATTAAATTTGAAAATATCTAAAATAGCTACGGCTTGATGACTCTAGCAATTATTTTGAAACAAAATGCGTCAAAATTATTGAAAATATCTTAAATGCCTAGCATGGCTATTAAAACAAGTCAAGCTAATTGCCAAGCTACCCAAGAACTCGGCAGGCCCGGGATGGTGTGCCAGTCCAATTCTCGAGAATAGCTCCATTCTCCACAGTCTGAATGGTAAGGCCTTCTTCCTCTTCCTCATCAACTATCACATTACAATCCATATTCTCCTCTTCTAGGAACAAGTTTCTCAACTCAGCCAAAGCTTCTTCCTCTGCAGATCCCCATATTGTATCAGCCTAGTAAAAAGTCTGACTCAGATGTGGCACTGGCTGCTCGAGAGGGTAATAAGGACCAGCCCATGGTGGCAACCAATCATTATATTCTTGCCAGGTGTATGGATATCCTAGCCTAAAAGTTGTGCCGTGACGTTTCAACTGTATTGGTTTGGTAATGCCCTGTAGTTTCTTCCCAAGCCCTTTGCCAGGTTCATACCCAGACTATGCTTTCTATTTTGTTGCTCCACCACTTGTCATTCTCAATTGTGTTGACATGCTCAATGTGGTGATAAGTCTATCTACCTAGCCTTCTTCTATTTTCAATAACCAGAACTGTTTGATTGGTGTAAATGGGGTTACTTCCATCCATGTGGATGATTACCTCCTGATGGTTCCATTTGAATTTCACGGCCTGATGTAGTGCGGAAGCCACAGTCCCAGTGGCATGTATCCAAGGTCGTCCTAATAGAAGATTGTATGTAACTGATATATCTAGTACTTGGAACTCAACATCAAACCAAGTTCATCCCATCTGCAGACAAAGGTTAATCTCTCCAATCGTGACCCTTTGAGATCCATCAAATGCTTTCACGTTCATACTCCCTACTCGCATCTCACTAAAATCTTTGCCCAACCTTTTTAGAGTAATCAACGGACAAATGTTGAGGCTTGAACCCCCATCTATTAGGACTCTGGCAATGAATTTGTCTCAAACTGTACCGTGATATGCAATGCCCTGTTATGACTTAACCCTTCAGGCGGTAGTTCATCCTCGTGGAAGGTGATCTTGTGACTCTCCAGTACTTGCCCTACCATGTTGGCCATCTCTCCACTGGTGATATTGTTCGGCACATAAGCTTCATTCAACACCTTCATCAGAGCACTCCTGTGCGCCTCCGAATTTTGCAATAGAGATAGGATGGATATCTGGGCGGGTGTCTTGTTTTAATGACCGACGACAAAGTATTCTCTCGCCTGTACTTTCCTCCAAAGATTGTCTAGTCCAGTTTCAATGACAGGTTGTTTGGTAGCAGCCTCCTTTCTTGATCCTCCCAAATTTTCAGGTGTATAGATCCTTCCAGTTCTGGTCATTCCCTGTGCGACACCATATTCTTCCATCTTTGTTTTTCCCTTTCTCCTAGCTTCGACAATGTAATCCCAAGGTATGGCGTTGGACTTGAAAGTGGGTGTGGTTGCTACTATGACAGTGAAAGGTGTGGCCATTTCTACCTCAAATGGAATAGGTGTGGCTACAAGTGGTGTTACTTCTACCTCAAATGGAACAAGTGTGGTTGCAAGTGGTGTTACTTCTACCTCAAATGGAACCAATACGGTTACCTCAACCTCAACTGGCCGATGTACCTGGACCACAATAGGATTGAGCATGACTGCGGGCTTCTTAGGATCATCACCCTCTTTGATAAGTCCAATTGATCCCTCGGGATCCCACTCCTCATTTGTATCTATCACATTGATCCCTTCGCCCCTATGATATTTGCAGCGGATTGTTGCGGACATTGGGTGTAGCTTTCTTTGCCTATATGACCTTATTATCAATCAATGTCTGGATCTTATCTTTCAATGTCCGACACTCGTCAATAGTGTTCCCTTTCATACCGGAATGATATGCACAGGTTTTATTCGGGTTGACCCATTGAGATGAATTCTCCATCGCCACAACGAGAATAGGGGTGACATAGCAAGTGGCCTTCAACCTTTCGTACAGCTGGTCGATGGGTTCAGCAATGGCTGTGTACTGTTTAGGTGGTTTGCGATCAAAATTAGGTCGGGCTTTCTGGTAATTTTGACGGGTTGGAGGCAAATGGTATTAGGCTGGTTGTGTGTTATAAATGTGATAGGTGGTGGCGGGTTGAGAATATCTAGGAGGTGAAGGTTGGTATGTGGGTGTAGGTGTTTGATATGTGAGTGGAGATTTTGGGCCTTGGGCCACCATTACTGCCCCTACTTCTTTCTTCTTCGATATGCCATCTAATTGCAATGCTTTGTTTGTGGCCTGCAATGCCTCAAAATTTGTCACCATCTCGCTTTAATTACCCTCTTCAATCCTTTCTCCGATTTTGATGATATCAGAGAACTTATGGTTGTCAATAACCATTAGCCTTTCATAATACTGTGGGTCCTGTGCCTTGACAAATAAGTTGTTCATCTGTTCCTCGTCTAATGCTGGTCTGACCTTGGCTGCTTCCGACCTCCACTGAATAGCATACTCGCGAAAAGTCTCAGTTGGCTTGTTCTTTAGGTTTTGGATATAGAAGACATCCGGTGCATTCTCCGTATTAAACCTGAACTAGTCTATAAAATCTGATACCATGCTCACCCAATTGGCCCACTTCTTAGGATTTTGACTTATGTACCAGGGCATGAAATCTCCGGTAAGACTTCTCATGAAGAGCTTCATTCGAATCCTTTCATATTTTTCAATCCCCACGAGCTTGTTACAATAAGTTCTTAGATGAACCTTGGGATCACCCGTTCCGTCAAACATTTCAAACTTGGGAGGTTGGTAACCCTCTGGCAGTTCCACATCTGGTTGTATGCACAAATCCTCATAGTTCAGACCCTCTATCCCTTTACCTCCTTCAACACCCTAAATTCGACATGTCAACTTCTTGAGCTCCTCGGCCATGTTCTTGATGAGCAGGTCCTTCTCAACGGATTCTGGTGTATATGAGATTGGTTGAGTGGAGTTAGGTAGGGTCTCCACGTATATAGGGTTGTTTTGGTGGGTGCTAGGGATTTGGATGTAGTGGTCGTCGTTGGTCGAGTTTTGAAGATCGGGAATAGGTTATGGTGTGTTCTGAAGAGTGTGATAGGTAGTGGTTTGTGGGTACTGGGTTGGTTGATAATGGTGTTGGGGAGGAGTTGGTACCGATAGAGGATTGGGATTTTGAGGCGGTGTGGCATATTGATGGGATGCAGAAGGATTTTGTGGATGTTGGTTTGGTGTGTTTTGAGGAAGTATTGGGTTTTGGGCATTTTTGTTGGTTAACGTCTGGGATGTTTACGGTGAGGGAGAGGTTTGCCAAGTTGCGGACCTGCTCAAGTTCTCCTTGTAACTACAATATTTTTTGTTCCAATCGCAGGACCAAATCATTTTGGGTCGGAGTACTCCGACCGTCTGAAGTTTCAATATTCTCAGCATTTTCTTTTCGGATACCACTCAAATCATTCATCTTAGCTTTTCCTCTGCTTTTCGGATTACTCGGAGGAGGAGGAGGTGGAGGGCCTTTAGATCTGGTGTGATATGCTGACGATGCCAGTATGTGCGAACCAACTTTAGGGGATGGGAATAATAAAAATAAATAAAAGCAAAGGTAAACAAGTCAGTAAGAATTCTGAAATGTTTGCATTATTCAAAAACATATTGCAGGTATGTAAATCTGCGTCCTAATTTGGGAGCCTCGTTGTTCCCGAGGTAGGCCTAGCAACACATTGATTTGGAGAATTTCAGTGCCAATAATTGCCTCATTTCATTAATGTAAAAATAGATGAATCTAAAACGACACTAAATAAGATAAGTCACTGATGGCACTTGGCCTTATTACATTTGAAAAAAGTAAATAAACCTAATCTACTTGGTCCCCGAAGGATCTTCTCCAGGCTGGATGTTTTTGGCTTCGTCGATCAAATTCCCCAGTTCGTGCAGGTTCAGTAGTAGGTATGCCCTTGCTAAATGTCCTCCTTTACTTCCTTCGGTGTTCTAGCAATCGGTGACTCTCTTCCTCATTTTTCCCTCAAATTCCATCAGACTGTACTCCAGATATTCCAACCTTTCGCTTGATTTAACAGCTGTCTCCCTCCATTTATTAATTAGTTCCATATCGGTCTTGTGTCACTCTAGGTGCTCGGCCTCGGACTCGTGAGCTCTTTTGCGCAGTTTGTTATATTTCACATGTGTTTGGAAACTTCATCTATGACTCTATTTCCTTGACCAACCCTTCGCTCGAATATTCCTGCTATGTTATCTTCTAACCATGATGGGTAAAAGTACACATGAACAACATTATATCGATCTGGCTCGATGGTATCCTTTTCCACGATAATTTTCAAATGCCACATATGTTGAGCTTTACATTTGTATGGGATGTCATCATCCTGAAAATCTGCCGCTAATGACTCATTTTAGCAACTCGCAGTATGGCCTGTTTCCTGCCTGCATGTCTCATAACCCTGATGGGAGCATAAGGGTATATGCCCCTCAATCTGATAAGTACCAAGTGTAGAACATCCCTAGATCTTATGATGAAATCATCGGTAGGGAACCATTCGAACATCCATTGAACCTGATCCTCGGTCAAATTGCTGAAAAATTGCGCCCATCATATAGTA